TATATATATATATATATATAAAATTGGCTATCTTCTAAAATGGTGTATATGTTTAGATGCTAAGTAGAGAGTCTTCTATCAGTATAAATGCTCAAACCACCCAAAACTTGTGTTTGTCATTTAAGTTTTTCATTCTCTCAGATCATTCACTACCATCAATGCTTTTACTGTTACAATTTATTTTTCTTTCAATTTTATTTATTTTAATATTTACAACTGGAGTTTTGTCGGAAAGAAAAGGTTGTGTGTCATTTTACCTAGTCATTTATCTATGCTCTAGCCCAACTATTTTGGTTTTAACCTTAGCTGCGATATAGTCATTAAATGTGGCTGTTTTCATATTTTTCGACTTGATTTTATATCAACTCATCCTTCACATATTTTATCTTTTGCTAGTCATAATTAAAATGGAAATACAATTCCTTTTACACTGAACTTGAATCACAAAAGCATTTATTAGGGCCTATAGCTTTTTTTAAATTATTATTATTGATGAATTGTAATTGAAGGGCCTTTTTTGATCACTTTTATTTTTATTTTATATTTTTTATGCTTAGATGTGAAGTAAAGCATATTTGGTGGCGATATTTATTTTTAAAAATACTCAAAACATGTAAAAAGATGTTTTGAGTGTTTTTAGAAATAAGTTAATTTATTATTTAAAACAAAAAATAAATACATGTAAATAGTACACTAAATAAACATAATTTTAAAAATAAAAGTAATAATGGGAATTAAACAAAAAATAAAATTTATTCTAAATATGGCTTTTGGTTTTGTGGTGCATATTTTTTTTGTGCCTTTAGATGGATAAATTATTTGTCTTTTGTTAATTATGTGCTATTGATGGTGATTATATATTTTCTTGTTTAATATTTATGGTTGGTTATGTTGTACGTCTTTATTTGAATGAAACAAGCGCAAGCTGCTTTGCTTTTCAGGGCAATAGTGCTCTTTTGCACGTTAGATTGCACGTTAGATGTGAATGAGACAAACACACCTTGCTTTGCTCCTCATGTCAATAGACCTCTTTTGCAGTTCACTCACCATATTTTTTTTTCTTATTGAGAGTGCAATTTTCTTATTTATAGGTTTGTTTTGAGAATAGGGGAATGCATTAGTGTCTTATCTATAAATTTTTAGGGAACAAAAATCAAGGTGTAAAAACCTTGAATTTCAGTTGAATCTGGTGATGCTTGGCATCACGTTCATTCTACTTTATTTGGAAATTTGTTCGTATCATAGTTTTTAGTTTGTGTGGAGAAAGTTTGAGAGTTAAGTTGGCGATGTATCTTAAAGCGTATGCTAATATCCATGAAATGTATTCAAATTTTAATTTTGATAGCGCCAGAGAGTTCTCTATAGATTCAATGCATAAAAAATTAACTTATTTTGATGAACAGTATTCAAGGGTTTGCTAATGCATTATTCTTAAGTGATACACTACAACTTAAACTGTCTTAGATGAAAATTAGAAAATATCGGCTAGATGTTACTGAATAATAATACACTATCTTTTAACCTAGTTGTGGTGAAATATTAGATTTGTTACATCAATTTTGGAGAGAAAATGGTAAAATTAGTTAATATGGTTAGGAGAGAAAATTTTACATTTCGAGAGATCGAGGGGTTGTTTGGTTGGCTGAAAAAGTAATGCAGAGTAAGATGAATGTATTGTAGAAGTAATGTATTGTATTTAAAATACTTTGGTGTTGTTTGGTTCACTGTCAAATAAACAGAAAACTTTAATTTTTTTTATTTGGTTTGAAGTAAAATGAAAATACTATATTTCAATGTATTTACAAATTAATGTGTTAGCCGATAGTGGCCGGCAACGGTGGTAGGTAGCGATGGTGTGCGGGCGGCGATGACAAAAACAGGTTGCGGCGGAGGTAGGTGGGCGATGGCGACAGAATTAGGAAAAATAAACCAAAATTTGAATTTCTCACAAACAAGCGGCTGAATTTTTAGAATCCTCACATTAGGAAGGCAATGCACCCCTAATGCTGTTGACTAAACCTCCCCTAAATGGAAAAGGAAAAGTCAATGAAGATTAAGGAATGTTATAAGTTATTGGCGTTAAAAAGATTATAATGGTGTTTTCGCTTCCTTCAGCTTAATTAACAGATAGTTCAAAAAATTAATGTTGGAAAGAGAGAGATGAATTGCTATAAAGTATCATTGTGGAAGAGGATAATTATAGGGTTTATGGAAAATGGACATATATAGTAGTATGATGGAGTATGGATTATGGGATAATTCTTGATGGGTATGAAATACGAGATAAAAATGTGATGTGAGATGCTATACTTGATCTTATACTAGCTCACATGAAAAGAACTCAACTGTTTCCCATCTCACAAAATGGACTATGCCATTGGTCTAGAATGAACTTGGCAAATACGTCCTGTATGACCAAATCTCATGCATAAAAAAAAAAAAAACATTTTACATAAACAAGAGGCAATGATGAAAATTCCATGTGTAACAAAATTTGTGAGGAAGAAAACATATATGTATTCTAATATATATAGAAACTGGTTAAATTACTAGTCAATATGTAAGCATGGAAGAGGTAGAAGTCCACACTGAAAGTGCCATATTCTTTGTTGTCAGTGACATCAAATTCTGATTTCAAAGTACTTAGAACATCACAAATCTTTCTTAAAGCGGTATGCTAGTACTTGAAGTCTTTACTTTGGTCGCACAACTTTGATTTTGTCTTCTTTATTTAGCTTCCGTCACAGTTGATTAATAAAATGATTACATTCCAATAAGGAAATATTTAAATTGCTAGTCAGTGTATTAGCAGTTATTATTAGTAGTGAATTTATGGCGGTATTTTTCTACCCAATCTGAACTAAGGTGAAAGTGAACCCTACTTGGGTGTGAAAATTAGTTGGCCGAGGACATGAAAAAAAATTCTTTAAGTGGCTTGCACTTAGAAGGAAAGTTCCTTTTATCTATTAATAGTTGATGATAAAATCTATTGGAAGCTTTTCATATAGTTGAAGATACCTCTTTACTCTATTTTGGTGTTGAACAAACTACATAATGATAGCTAAAGTAGTGATGGATCATATTTGAATTTGTGATTTTCCAGCTTCATTATAAGTTTTGCCGTAGATTACAGGTGATAGTAAAGCATGGTTCAGAGCAAGATATTGGTTTGTACAGTCTTGTTAATTATGCATTACTTTTTGTGTCTTTGGGCCATCAAATTATATTTTTAAAAGAATTTTCTGCTATTTCCTTTTGTGGGAACTTTCTTGAAGCAGGATTTGAAGGGGCTTCCAGAAGGCGGGGTTGCAGTACCTACTACCTCTTCAGATTTGAGACCTGAAGCTCAATTGACAAGCATCCCAGGTTCTGAATATGAGAATCAGCTATATCAGCAATCTGATGCTCAGGCAAATTCTTATTCTGCATTTTTTCTATCTTGATCATCTTGAAATCTTCTAACCCGAGTAACACGTGACAGAGTTCTGAATTTCTTCGTGGATTTTATTCTGGTGGTCACGGGAGTTTTGAAGATGTCTGGGGCGAAGTTCATCGACCTCCACTTCTACCTCTTGGTGGGATCAGGGAGAGTGATGGTCATTTTGCGGAATTCGAGCAGATATATGATGGTGGTGCGAATTCCAATGCCCACCAAACTTGGGATGGTAGGCTCCTATTTGTTTTGCAAGTTCTCTTGATTCTATTTCTGTTTTTCTTAAACTGCCATTATAATAAGAGATGCTTGACTCACTTTTACTTTTGTGTAACAGCATAGGATGTATTATTTTTTATTTTGATTCTGTTTGATTTGGCTTTCTTCTGTTTGGGCTTGTGTGGTTGCTTTTTATATTCAGTTATATCTCTCTTGATTGGAGGTCATTTATTTTTTATCTTTTTTTTCATATGGAGGTTATTAAGGTTGAAATCGTATGTAGTTTTGTTCATATTAGCTATGAGATTGTTATTTCTGCATCTAACTGTAAAAGAAATGAGAATTATCCTACTTAGAAAATCAGTTCTTATATCTACTCAAACTTTGTCCTTTTCAGAATACCATAATAGTTAATATAGAATACTTATTCTTGTGGTTTTTGGAAAGGCTTATGTTGTTGCATTCATTATAAGAGTTAGGTGAACTTGTCAGAGAGGTTGTTGTGGCATTTTGTGTTTATTGCACTATTAAATTATTAATCAGTTTTTTGGCAGAATCACCTTGCACAAGCTTTAGCAGTAATGCTGCAAAATTGGACGAGCTTAGCAGCTATCTTTTGAGATCATGGATGAATTTGATTGAGACATCTTTGGGTTTCCTAAGCAAAAGCTGGAGTCATGTTTGCTAATTTTACCTGCATCGCCATTTTAACTCTAGAATTTGTTGGATTGAATCTGTTGCCAATGAACCACTACAAAACTGTTTTTTTTTTTTCTTTCTATCCATGATTGGATAATGCACAATACAAATTTTATGATTCCTGCACGCTATTCAGTGTCCTGAAATTCAAAGGGTTTGTTTGAGATCAATTTTTTTTTTTGTTTTTGTTTTTTTTATTTTATTTATTAAACATGTTTGTTAGTATGGTTTTTACATGTTTTTTTAATAAATTAATATATTCGAAATAATTTTTAAGTGACTTGAGTATTTTTCAAAACAATCATACTTTAATCATATAATCAAACATGTTTTGTTTCAAATTGAAACATAAACAAAACAAAATAAAAATAAAAAAAAAAAAATAAAAAATAAAAGTGATCCCAAACGGCCCCTAATTAAGCTTGCTACTGCATTTTTGTTTGTCTTTTTGTTTTACTTATTGGTTTATTTTCTTTCTTCAGGACCACCACAAAGGGTTCTATCCAGTTTCTTGCACTATTTTGTGAATAGTGATCGTGATCGCTTTGGATTTCGCCCAATTCCTCTTCCTGCTCTGGGTTTGTCAGAAAGTGATAAACGATGCATACGTGATCGTAGCTGCATCATGTCCAGGCATATTTTTGCTGATAAAAATGAGCAGTATATTAATGAACAGGTAGGTCTGCATTTTCATTCAGTGCGGATTAATTTACATCAGTAAAATCCAAGGTTGTAAACACTCTTTAGTATGAATGAGTTGGGGTCCTTGCTTTTCTCAGTTCAGTAAGCATGGATGTGAATGTGCTCAAGTTCCTTAAGAAGCTGAAAAGTTTGTTTGTGTTTAATCAATTTATTATTTAGCTGCACAGGTAATGAAAATGAACAAAAATCAAGTCAATAACAATCACTTGCAGTGAGAATTTTTGAATTGGTTATCAAATTATAGTACAAAATATTTTGAGTATCATAGTACAACCTATTTTAAGTTTCATATATCTAAACGAGTGTTTTTTTTTATTTTTAGTTGTAAGTTATATGATTAAAAATTGTAAACATAAATACATAAATGACATTTTTGTATTGGTATCAGAACCTTTCTGTATTTTGTTAAGTATATCAACGTCTTATTGAGCTGAATATAATTGAGTTGGCTCTTGTTCGTGATTGATTCAGTTTCAAACAAGTTGAAATTTTTTGTTCAAGGTTGCCTCATTTACTAATTGAATGATCCAGTGTTGCTCTTATAGCATCAATCATGTGCTACTCACGAACATCAAAATATTTTGGTTGCCCTAGTAAAATCATCAAACAATTACTATCTACAAATTGTTTTGTTGACAATCATGAGCCACCCACAAATTGTAGATACAAGGGTGATTTATAAGGTGATGTCAATTTGAGAGGTGGATAGCTTTCCACAAACCCTATGCGCCACTAGAAGCAAACAAACAAAATAGGAAACTACAGGAAGAAAAAACTTGAAACAAAACTTAGCCACTTATCCTTAACAAGCTGAAAATTTTGTTTGTGTTTAATCAATTTATTATTTAGCTACACACGTAATGAAAATGAACAAAAAAATCAAGTCAATAACAATCACTTGCAGTGAGAATTTTTGAATTGGTTATCAAATTACATTACAAAATATTTTGAATATCATAGTGCAACCTATTTTAAGTTTCATATATTTGAAGGAGTGGTTTTATTTTTTTTTTAGTTGTAAGTTATATGATTAAAAATTGTAAACATAAATACATAAATGACATTTTTGTATTGGTATCAATAAATATATGCGCATATAGATACCTTATGTATTTCTTTAAGTATATCGATGTCTTATTGAGTTGAATATAATTGAGTTGACTCTTGTTCATGATTGATTCAGTTTTAAACAAGTTGAAATTTTTTGTTCAAGGTTGCCTCATTTACTAATTGAATGATCCAATGTTGCTCTTATAACATCAATCATGTGCTACTCACGAACATCAAAATTTTTGGTTGCCCTAGTAAAATCATCAAACAATTACTATCTAGAAATTGTTTTGTTGACAATCATGAGCCACGCACGAATTGTAGATACAAGGGTGATCTATGAGGTGATGTACAATTTGAGAGGTGGATAGCACTCCACAAACCCTATACGCCACTAGAAGCAAACAAACAAAATAGGAAACTGCAGGAAGAAAAAAGCTGAAACAAAACTTAGCCACTTATCCCTTATAACTACCCCCTTAGCTCCCCTCAAATTCCTCCTCCCCCCCCTAAAGAAAAAAAACCTCTCCTTAATTCCCCTTCTTGTGTATCGAACTAAGGGTTGCACTGGTCCCACTCGGACATTGGAATCATCCATGGCAGCTCCTAGGGTCTCCAGCCCCCATAGGCTGGACCGGCTGGGACTGACCGGTCTAGATCCGTCCCTCTTGGACCGGTGTACGTGTAACAACTGACAGAGCCTACGTATCAACACTCCCATCCTAAAGAAGCACCTTGTTATCAAGGTGGAACGTTGGAAACTGCTTCTGGATTATTTCATATGACTCCTACGTCACTTCATACTTTCCACTCAATCAATACCTCCCTTGCTTTAGCCACTCCTCGACGCATCCCTTCGACCTACAAAAGTTCCAGAACCACCTTTATATCTTCTATCAGTGTCGGAGGTAGTGAAGACGAGGGTATATGATCTCCAAATACATGAAAGACTGGATGTAATGATAATGAAGGTCTTAGCAAATGATGGTATGCCATTGCCCCAATATGCATCATAATCTCATAGGGTCCAAAGTATAGTGGAGAAAGCTTCTCGCTCCTCCTGGCGAGCTTTTTTGCCGGTACGGTCTCAAATTCAAGTAAACCATGTCCCTCAGGTTCAAATTATATCTCCCACCTATGTCCATCAACCTTCCTCTTCATGATCTATTGAGCCCTCGGTATATGTCTCTTGAGCTATTCTAATACCCTGCTTCTCTCTTCCAAATATTGGTCTATTCTAAATACTGGTGTAGTGTTGTGTCCATGGTGTATCAGGTGAGGTGGATCGCACACATACAAAATTCTAAACGGGGTGGTCTGTGTTGCGGCATGATATGGAGTATTTTACCAATACTCAGCCCAAGCAATCCACTTTGCCCAAAGCTTCGACATATTTGATGCAAATCAACTTAGGTATGCCTCCACATTTCTGTTGATCACCTCCGTTTGACCATCTGTCTGGGAATGATATGTTGTGCTCCTTTTTAGGAGTGTCTCTTGTAACCTAAAGAGTTCCTTCTAAAAGTGATCGAGGAACACATTGTCCCTATCTCATACAATAGCTTCTGGAACACCATGCAAACGAAACACTTCCCGTATGAACACCGTAGAGATTGAGACAACAGTGCAAGGGTGTCATATTGGAATGAAGTGTGCATATTTGTTCAGACGATCCACTACCACCAATATCACTGTATTACTCTCGGATCGTGACAATCTCCCTATAAAATGCTTCTTTATTTCCTCCTAAACCTTCACAAGTAATGCTAGGGGCTGCTGTAATCCTCCTGGCTCCATAGTCAAGTACTGGTATAATTGGCACACATTACACTTTTTTATCATATCATCTACATCGTTGTGCATCCTCACCCAATATAGCTCTGCTGACAATCGATTATATATCTTCTGTACTCCAACATACCCCCTAATTGCATTGCTATGAAACTCCTACAACAGTTTGGGGATGTATTTGCTGCCCTTGGTAACACAAATACATATCTTGGATGACTGTTAGGATCCTTTATCAACTCTCCCTTATCTTCCTCGGCCCTTCATCTTGCTCGCCCTCCAGCCGCAGGGCTTTCTAATCTAGAACCAGGGTATTGATAAAACTGTCAGCTAGGCCTCCTCTACCTTCTTTGATAGTGCATCAACAACTTTATTCTACAATTCTGACCGGTACTGAATTTCAAAATCATATCTCAATAACTTGGATAGCCACCTTTGATGCTCCACCATCACCACCTGCTCGAACAAATACTTCAAACTCCTCTGATCTGTCCTTATTAGAAAGTGTCGCCCCTATAGTGCCGCCACTTCTGAATGACCAAGACAATAACCATCAGTTCTTGCTCATACACGGACTTAGCATCGCCCTGGTTGTGAGCACTTGACTGAAATAAATAATAGGTTGTTGATCCTACATGGGAACACTCCTAATCCATATCCTGACGCATTCGTCTCTACCAAAAAGGGTCTATTGAATTCTGGAAATGCTAATACCGGAATGCTGGTCATTACTCTAGTTGATCGAAGTCTTGTGTTGTTGCGCCCCTCCAGTAGAAATTATATTTCTTCAGTTGTTCTGTCAGCAATCATGTTATTGTGTCGTACCCTCTCACGAATTTCTAGTTGTTCTCAGTGAGGCCTATGAATCTTCTCAACTCTTTCAAGCTCCTTTGTAAAGGCCAGCCCAACTTAGCCTTAATCTTGGATTAATCCGGTGCTACCCCTACTTTGGTCATCACGTGCTCTAGGTACTCCACATATGACTACCCAAAGGAACATTCCTTAAAGTTGGCATACAACCGGTGCTCTCTCAGTTTCTCCAAGACTGTTCCCAAGTGTCTCATATGCTTTGCTTCTGTATGACTGTAGATCAGGATATCATAAAAGTACTAGGATGAATTTTCAGAGGTTGGGTTGAAAAGCTTTGTTCATGAGAGACTGAAATATGATCGGAGCATTGATAAGGCCAACCGACATTACCAAAAACTTGTAATGTCCTTAATGAGTTCTGAAAGTTGTCCTGTGCACATCAACTAGATTCCTTCTTATCTAATGGTATCCCGACTTCAGATCGATTTTTGAGAAGATGATTGGTCCATAAAGTTCATCTAACAACTCAATAAACATGGGTATTGGAAACTTTTTCAGTACAGTTTCATTGTTCAAGGCCTTGTAGTCCACACAGAATCTCCAACTATCATTTTTTTTACCAAGAGAATTAGAGCAAAAAAGGAGCTCACAATGGCCTTGATAATCTCTGTTTCGAGCATCTCACGAATCAACTTCTCGATCTCATTCTTTTGAATCTGAGGATACCGGTATGGTCTGCACTGATAGGGGGAACTTCTTCCTTCAATGTGATGACATGTTGGTGCTCCCTCAGGGACAGCAATCCGTTCGACTGTTGAAAAATGTCAAAAAACTTTCGTAGAAACTGCTGAACACCCTTTTGGAATTCTACTTACATGGGCACCCAGATCTCCTGCATACTCTGAAACTCTACCAAATTGCCCAAACCTGTTCTGACCATGGTTTAAGTGGGCTTGGGTTTGCATAGGTGAGCATCCTCTCTCAACATCGCCTTCCTCCACTTCTCCTAAATTTCCATAGTTAGGGACTTCCAATCTACCTCATCTCTCGAACCAGTGAGGTCTTGGGTTTCATTTTAATAAGCCTTCTTATTATCTCCTCCAAGCTCCCGAATAATTTTTCCATGAAAGAAAACCTATCATTTGTAAAGAAAAACCTTCCTTCTATGGTGAAGAACCTTCCTCCATCTCAGATTTGATTTGTCCTACTTTTCTTCCAATCTCTCTTCCAACACGCTTGTTTTTTTTGCTACTATCTCTCCAAGTTCTTTCTTTGATACCAATTTGATACACATTGGATCCAAAAATAATGAACAAATTGCAAGAATCAATTGGAAAATCTATATTAGGGCTAATTTAATTAATATCCAAGCAAACAAATAAGATACAAGGGTGATTTACAATTCAAGATGTATATCGGTACGCTACTTGGAAGCAAAACAAACAAAAGAGAAAACTGCAAGAAAAATAACACATGAAACAAGCCCTAACCACTTAGCTCTAATAATTACCCCCAAGGTCTCTTTAAAATTTTCCCCTAAAACTCCACTTAATTTCCCTTCTAGTGCATGTTATTAAAGGCTGCATGGGCCCACTTTTACACTGGAATGATCCATTGTTGCTCCTAGGGTTTTTGCCCTCTAGGCTAGACCGAATGGGTCTAGCTGGTCCAGATTGGTCCCTCTTGGACCAATGTACGTGCAATAGCCGACAGAGTTGACGTATCAACAAATCGAACGAGGGGAGCATGATGAAAAAGGAATTCTCCATCAAGAACATGAACTCCCCCCCAAATACCTTTAATTCCCATTCTTGTGTACGTGATTAAGGGCTATGCAGACCCACTCAAACGTTGGGATCATCCTTAGTGGCTCCTAGGATTTTGTCGCCCTATGCTGGGCTGGTCAGGTTTAGCCACTCCAAACCAATCCCTCCTATACTGGTGTACATGAAGTAGCTGGTAGAGTCGGCGTATCAAGACTTCCCTCCCAAAGAATGAACTTGTCCTCAAGCAAACTGCTTCTGAATACGACTTCCACATCTCTCATAATTTGACAGATCATTCCACTTATTCAGCAGTTCCATTGCTGCAGCCACTCTTTAGCGCACCCCTTCGACCTCCAAATGTCCCAAAACCACCTCTATGCCCTCTATCAGTGTTTGAGATAGTGAAGACAGGGGTGTATGATCTCCAATAGCATGCCTTAGCTATGATATATGAGGGAGTGGATGCAATGATGATGAAGTTGGTAGCCTAAGATAGTGTGCCACTGCCCCAATGCGTGTTGTAATCTCATGGGGTCCAAAGTATCGTGGATAAAGGTTTTTGCTCCTCCTGACCAATGTCCTCTGCTAGCACGGTCAGCTTCACTTTAACCATATCCTCGAGTTCAAATTATATCTTCCTCCTATGTTTATCAGCCTTTCTCTTCATGATCTATTCAACCCTCAGTAGATGTACCTTGAGTTCTGCCAAAATCCCATTCCTCTACTCCAAGTATTGGTTTACACTAGATACCAGTGTATTGCTATTTATGCCCATCATGTATCAGGTGAGGTGGATCTTGCCATACAAAGTCCTAAAAGAGGTGGTTTGTGCTATAGTATGGTACAAAGCATTGTAAATCTACTCAGTCCAAGCAATCTATTTGGACCAAAATTTCGATGTATTTGCTACAAACATTACATGTATGTCACCACACTTCCGTTGAATACCTCCGTCTGGTCATCTTCCTGGGGATGATAAGTTGTGCTTTTTTTTAGAATTGTCCCGTGTAACCTGAACTGTTCCTTTCAGAAGTGCCCGAGGAACACCTTGTGCCAGTCTGATACAATAGCTTCTGGAACATCATGCAACGAATCATTTCTTGTATGAGCACTGTAGCGACTAAGACAACACTGTAAGGGTGTCGTAATGGAATGAAGTGTGCGCAGTTACTCAGACAATCTGCTACCATTAATATCACCGTTATCCCTCAGATCATGGAAACATTTATATAAAATTCATATTTATTACCTCTCAAATCTTCACAGGTAACGCTAGGGGTTGCAATAACCTTCTGGCGTCATAGTGAAATACTTGTATCGTTGGCACACATCATCCCTTTCATCATGTTCTCCACGTTTCTGTGCATCATCACCCAATATATCTCGATCGTTAGTTGACTATATGTCTGTTGTATTTCGGAGTGCCTCCCGATTGTGCTGCCGTGAAACTCTTGCAACAGTTTGGGGGTGTACCCCAATGCCTTCAGTAACAAAAATCATCCCTAGTAGAGTAGTTGTTGCCCCTCAATGCTTATCTTGGATGGCTGTTCGGATCCTGTAACAACAGTGCTCTTATCTTCCTTAGCCCTTCATCATGCTTGCTCTCCTGACTCAGGGCTTCCCAATCCAGGACTAGAGATATTGATAAAGATGTCAACTAAGACTCCTCTTCCTTCCTCGATAGTGCATCCATGACTTTGTTCTCCAATCCTGGTTGGTACTAAACCTGAAAATCATATCCTAATAACTTAGATAGTCACCTTTGATGCTCTTCCGTCACTATCCTATGCTTCAATAGATACTTTAAGTTCCTCCGATCTGTCCTGACTATAAATGTTGCCCCAACAGATTAAGTCGCCACTTTTGAATGATCAAAACAATAGCCATCAGCTCCCTCTTGTACACGGACTTAAGCTTCGCCGTGGTCATGAGCACCTGGCTGAAATATGCAATAGGCCGTTGGTCCTGCATGAGAACAACCCCCAATCCATACCCTGACACATTTGTTTCTAACACAAATGATCTACTAAAGTCTGGAAGATGATAGGATTAGAAATTTGAAGATACTGATCTTTGAGTGACATTATTATGTCGGCCTAGCTAAGGACAATTTAATCCTTTATTAACTTAAGGGCAATTGAGTCCTATATTAACCAAATATGTTTAGGGTTGGATATGCATGAGATTGTTATCTTGGAGTCTAGGTTTAAGTTTTGGGAGAGATTGCCTACCTCTCAAATTGTATGTGTTTATCTTCTAGCAATTAAATGTGTTTTCCCGAATTTGTGGAAAATCGTGTCAATTTATGCGCCAAATCGTATTAAATTTCTCATTTAGCCCATTCACTGCAAACTATCTGCTCCACCCAGTACACCCACCCTTATACGAACAAATTAGCCCTAATTTGATACGCCCCAGAGTCGAAAAAAATGACTGAGAAAACCTCATTCGCTGATTTCTTGCAATTTATTTGCTAATTTCAGTTCCGGGACGGATCACAATCCTTTCAGTTTATTTTAAATTATCTATAGTGACTTTTTTTTAATAAATTTTATTTTTTTCCTGTAATAAAGCAAGCATATATTCAAAAGGATTCCTTTTAAATTTTAGCATATTTTTTGCGCATCCATGAATTATGCATGCGTGCAAGTATAAGATGATTTTTTCATGGTTATCATGTCAAGTTTTGGACTATACTTGATACCGAAACTAGTAGGAAAAACAGTGGAAATACAAAATGACTTCTATTAATAGGAAAATAGGTTAGAACACGATACAAACTGAAAATAATATCACCAACACATTGAACAACACAAAAAACACCTCTCAAGTGTTCCTAGGTTGGTGGAGGCCAGCTATGGATCAGGATGACTAGCGGTGGTGGCGTCAGCAAAGGTGAGGTGAGAAACTGCAGAAATAGCTAGAAGGCTGGCTGTTCTGTGCATTGACAGCAAGAAATTGGGACAAAAATGGCAGGAACAACAAAAGTTTGCTGTCCCGAGGCGGAGGCAACAAGAATTGGTGGGTTGGAAGCTATGTTAGCAAAGAAGCGGGTGGTTTGGGGTCGTGGGAAGGTTTGGAACAGTAAGGTAAGGCTGCAGGTATGGGACGGTTAGGTGCTGGGAGGAATTCTGGGAAGGTGGACAGCAAGGTTGGATTGTTCGGGAAGGGCGGCTGAGTATTGGATGTAGTAGCGGGAGGCCGACAACAAAGGGGAGGGAAGGAGAAGGGTTAGATAAGGGTAAAAGGGAAGATACAACACTATTTTGGAGTAAGATATAGTCAGAGCATCAACATCTCCTCGGTACAATCCTACAAAAGGGAAGAGGGCCCCACACAAGAAATTTGAAAGACAACACAATAAAGACCAAAGAAAACTGTAAGCATAACTCCCCTTATTCATAATGAGGACTAGCATTTATTTTAGGCAATCTTTGAAATAAGAAGAAAGATTAAAGGTAATCAGAATTTCAGATTAAGGTTCCGTTTGGGCCAGCTTATTTGGTGCGGTGGCGTTTTGAAAACACACCTGACTTGTTTGGGTAAACTGCGTTTTGGTAACTTATGTGTTTTCAAAGCATTTTCACACCGCACATGTCTAGGTGCGGTGACAGCTTTCTGGCTGCGGTCTAGCTTTTCCAAAAAATAAAAATCTGTAGTAGCTATCGCACCTAGCTTATCAACTGATTATTTTTAATCAACTTATCAGCAGATTATTCAATAAGCTGTTGTTGCCCCAAACAGACCCTAAGCAAAGATTACATAAGTGAGGGGAATTTAGATTTGGGAAAGAAAGATTTCAGATTTCAATAAAAATAATCAGATTTTAGATTTGGAAGGGACTTATAATAGGAAGGTGCGAGGAAGGAAGGAAGGAAGGAAAGAAAGGAAAGGAAATGAAAGGAAAGGGAGGTAAAGGGGAGGAAGAAAAAGAAAGGCTGGTTGGCAGCCCTTCCCCATTGAGGACGGACTGGTCCAACCAAGCTGGACTGAACCCTAGTCCGGTCCTCCTCAAAGCCCCGCATCAATTTTACCACCATGTAAATGTCTATTTAAATTTTAAAAATGACACTGCCAAAATTTAATTTATTTTAATTTTGATGTGGCCGGTGCAGCCATTTGCTGTTTCCCATTTTGATTTGGGAGATTATGGTTCAAACGAAACAGCCTTTTTTCTATTTCAAGCTTAATGCTCACTTAACCCTTTCCAGTACTCACATTGGCAAAGCTTCACGCATGCCCTTTTTTTTTTTAAGGGAAATTTACATACATACCACCCAATTCTTATGTTTTTACATATCTAATGCCCAGAGTTTGATATTTAAACTCATACCACCTTGATGTCATAAACCTATGCATCAATAAATGTATTTTACTTTTAAAAAGATAGTGATTGTGGATGTAATTTTAAAGATTTGAGTGGTATAGATGTAATTGTAAACATGAACGTTTGTGTTAGATATGCTAATACATAAGAACTGTGTTGTATGCCCTTTTTTTATTTTGGGTTTTTAATCTGAAAATGCTGACTGCTGCTCTGCATAACAGTTCCAATTCATTTGTTCCCTTCTGATTCTGTTCCTTACCGATATCTCATTCCTGCACTGTCTAGACATTGACAACGATCATGTAACCAGAGGGCCTATGCAAGGGCCTTATGCAGAACTTGAGGAATATTGGAACAATTCCCAAGCTGTTCTAAGACCTGGGATCCCCCATCCGACTGATAATTGGATTACAGAATTTACTCAACAAAGAAGAAATGCAGACCCAGAGGCTTGGGCACATTCTTTTGAGAGACAACATGGTGCTCAAGGTTGGGCATCAGAATTTGAGCAGGTACAATATCTAGTGCTGCATTTTACAGTTTCATTCAAGCATCTTTTGTGCTATTGTCAGAACTATGCGCTTAGCGTTATGTTTACATTTCAGAATGAACTTTCTTGGTATTACAGTAATGGGAAGCTTTTGTTTTTCTCGAGCATATTTGAGAGGCCTGATGTTATTTATTCAGTTGTTTGAAAATTTTGTTTGAATAAATTCATTTTTCTCTTTTTGCTCTTATTATTTCTTTCAGACGCATTTGTTTTGTTTTGTTTAATTTTTTAGCAGTATAATTTATTTTTGTCTTTGTACTTTTTTTTAAAACGCTTTAACCTGTTGTAATAATTCTTTAAACTCAATAAATTCTCTTGTGCTGTCAATTAATTTTCAGCCTTCATGCCATGATTAATACTACACCTTTCAAATTATTTTCTTAAAAGGGATTCTTGAATGTCTTCCTAGATGTTTTAATTTTATCCATCATGGAACTATCTTGACATACACACAGAAAGGCATATATATATATATATATATATATATATATATATACAATGGAAATGTCGTCGTTCCGCTCTGCTAGGGTTCCGCCCCATGGCGAACCCTAGCGTCTCGCGTTGCTTCCATTTTGCTTCGGGATTCAGCATCGTCACGCGTCGCCTGTTTCGTCTCGGTGGTCTGCTTCCATTCACGCATCTGCTGCGTTTCTTGTCTGTGACTCGTCTGCGACAGAGCCGCTCGAACAGACCGCTCGTCGTCTGCTCGGCTCAGACGGTCTGCGAGCCGCTCGTTGTTCTGCTCGGCTCAGCGCGTGAGTCTGCGACAGAGCCACTCGTTTCAGCCTCTGGCGTAGGCTTTTGCGACAGATCCTTCAGCTTTTCTTCCTGCTGCAGTTTGGCATTAGCTGCGGTAATGGCCTCAGGGCTTTCTTACGCCGCAGTGGTTCACAAACGCAGTGGTTCACAAACGCAGCTCTCCTTTTCACCTTGCAGATAGTGCGGTATTCCTGCAGAGTTATCATGATTCTGTTGCAGGAAATGACGATTGCAATCTCATAAAAGGTAGAGAAAAAGGCGGACAAACCAACAATTTTCTTCTCTGACACTGAAATTTCAACTCGTGCAGGAAAATACAAATTTACACTAATTGAAAAGTTTCAATTAGGTTGCCCGAAGATGGAAAATTATAGACACCTAAATCTTAGGTTTTGAAGATTTCAAATTGGTTGGGGATTGACAGGTGGGTCGTTTCGACGAAATGCATGTTATGATACAGCTAAGCACAGAAGATGATTACACGAGGATTTTCTCAAAAAAATTCATCACAATTGAGGGCAAACATATGAAATTGCTCAAATGGACCCCTAATTTTGATCCCAATCAAGAACCCCCAATTGCACCTATCTGGTTCTCATTACCTGAACAGAAGGGTGAAACCAACATGAGGAAACCCAAAAGGGATCCCTATAAGGACCTTTTGAGTCTTAGGGTGACCTTCTGCACACTTCGCACTCCCGCGTGCACAAACTTTGCAATTCGGAGAGTCGATGCGTCCGATCGCCACAATTCGCATTGCTTGCGCTGTTACCCGTCGAAGACTCGAATAAACCTTTTGAAACGATCGATCACGGGTCGAAATTTTATGAAATTTGAATTTTGACGCGTTTTTTGACCTGATTGTCGACGACGTCGTCCGAGCGACCCTGGATGACAAAACGGACTGCACCGGCGCGTCCAGAACGTCGATTTTGCCTAGGGAGGACACCCATTTTGTCGCGTCGCCGCGCGCGAGTAAATTGTGT